ACACAGCCTCATCTTTTTTTTTTTTTTTTTAAAGAAATGGGGTCTTGCTATGCTGCCCAGGCTGGAGTGCAGTGGTGTTATCAGAGCTCATTGCAGCCTCAAACACCTGGTCTCAAATGATCCTCCCATTTCAGCCTCCTGAGTATCTGGGATTACAGGTGTGTGCTACTGCACCTGGCTTTAAACAGAAGGAGAGAAATAAACACAGCAGAAGTCACTTCTTAAGTTTTCTGCCTTTTGCTTCTTTGCCCAGAAACAAGAAAATTCTTTTGTTGTTGACACTCCACAAATATTTATCACCTTCATGGATGAACATTCACTGCCATCTTCACGAAGTACAGGGGTCTCGGAAACTCACCCTGAAAGTGGACTGTCACGTTAATGGGTTCTTGCTAGATCTGCAACTTGAGCTTCACCATATACAAATACAAAGCAGCCTTGTTTGTTCTTGTACCAAAATGTTAGGTTCATTTTTCCTATCCTGGAATCTTTTCAACCCCAACTGACAAGTAAGCCAAGAATTACATGAAAATCAGCAAGCTCATGGCCATCTCCAGAAACATTTCATGCCTCCTCACGAATTGCTCTCTAAATCAAATATCAGAATAAGAAAAAAAGACATGAGTCAGGGTGGCACCTGTGGCTCAAAGGAGTAGGGCACCAGCCTCATATGCTGGAGGTGGCGGGTTCAAACCCAGCCTGGCCAAAAACAAACAAACAAACAAACAAAGACATGGGTCACACCAACTACATGATACAACCCAGATACAACTTGGAAAGAGAACTCCATTAGGAAAATCAGGCTTCAAAGTCTCCACCAAATCTGAATTCGTCTTTCACTTCTGTCATTGTTTTTTTTTTTTTTAGCAGGCCTGGGCCAGGTTGGAACCCACCATCATGTACATGTACACGTGGCCAGCACCCTAACCACGGAGCTAGGAGTGCTGAGCCTCATCTTTCACTTTTTTCAATTTCACATCAGACGAGTAATGTGCCAACATCGTAACAAGATTTGTTGGAGGCACATCTCACACATGCACATGAAAACCCAATCATCGGCTTGGCGCCTGTGGCTCAAGTGGCTAAGGCACCAACCACATACACCTAAGGTGGCGGGTTTGAATCCAGCCTGGGCCCACCAAACAACAATGGTGGCTGCAACCAAAAAAAGTAGCCGAGCGTCGTGGTGGGCACCTGTGGTCCCAGCTACTTGAACTCACTTGAGCCCAAGAGCTGGAGGTTGCTGTGAGTTGTGATGCCACAGCACTCTATCCAGGGTGACAGCTTGAGGCTCTGTCTCAAAAAAAATAAATAAAAAGAAAACCCAATCATCACGCTTATGAACTACAAAAGGATCCATCTTTCACTTTTATTTAAACTTTGGGCAAGAAAAAGAGAGATGTGGTCTACTTTAAGTGGGAATGATGGCTAATCCCAGGGAAGGACTAACAGATAGGTCATTTTATTACAGACATCTCAACTCTGACACAGCTCTGGGTGCTCTAGGTACAAGGTTATCAGAGCTGTCATTCTAACTATCCAGAGAGAGACTATTTTGGCTGTGTTTTTACAGGAAAATGCACTGATTTCTTGCATGTGGTTCATACACTTAGCAAAGACATTTCACACTTTATGTTTTGTTTATTCTCAGGCCTATCTCCTCTTCTAAAGTACTACCAATTTAGGAGCATTTCTCTGTTCCATGTCCCTCCTAGTACCAGCCAGTGTCTTGCATAAGGCAGGCCCTCAAGAGAAGAGTCTTACTTGGACGAAGAGATGAAGACTTTAATGACTAAAGAGATGATCATGAAAATGAAGCTCATACAGCTGAATCCCTGAACATTCGTGCTGGTGACATCTGCCTGGCCACAGAAACCTGACAAACAGCTAAGAGATCAGCAGAGCACCTGGATACTATCCAAGCTAATGAAGTCTGATGCAGGGATTGGGAAACCCTCTGTGTGTCTCATTATCTGCATGTCTCTAATTTCTCAGTTGAAGAATTTAAAGAACTTACATCATCTCAAAAGCAAAATCCCCTTTCTCAAAGTAGAGCTGGGACATGATCCAACCCCAAAGCAACAGTTTTTTTGATTATGGGGAATGGAATAGAGCTGCTCCTGGTTTTGTCTCCTACGCACCAGATAACTCCATTAGCAACACCTGGAAGTTGTCTTTTTTGCATAAAGGATTGTGAAACTTAATAAGGTCTAGCTGGAAGCACAGTTCATGGCACCATGCCTTGCCCCATTTCCTGGATCTTACGTAAATCAAATATTATGTCCTACCTCCTTAGGCTATTTGGTAACCAAATCTACTCCAGGTTTAAGACTTCATGGTCAAAACAGCAGAAGAAGGCAGTGCCCATAAGCTCAGTGGGTAGGCTGCTGGTCACATACACCCAGGCTGGCGGGTTCAAAACTGGTCCAGGCTAGCTAAACAGCAATGACAACTGCAACAAAAAAATAGCCGGGCATTGGGGCGGGCATCTGTAGTCCCAGCTACTTGGGAGGCTGAGGCAAGAGAATCGCTTAAGCCCAAGAGTTTGAGATTGTTGTGAGATGTGATGCCATGGCACTCTACTCAGGGTGACATAGTAAGACTCTATCTCAAAAAAAAAGCAAAGAAAACATTAAGATAAGTACCTCTCCTATGAGTTGTAAGGGGTGAAGAAACTTCTGGAACACACATGTCCACACCCCAAGTAAAATGATGACTAAACGTGGTGAAACTGGAGAATGGATCACACCAGATACAGAGGATGCTAAGCCTTTGGGCACAGAATGCCCAACCACAGCCACCCCTAAATCTTGTTCTTCCAGGCCACAGAGATTGAGACGACACAGAATGATACCAGTAAGCAAATCTACCTCAAAAACATCTGAATCTGGAGTCTAAATCATGAGAAAAGCCTCAGAATGGTGTCCAATACTTGGGACTTCTCTGGGCCACACTGGAAGAAGTAGTTGTCTTGGCCACACATCAAATACATAAATACTAATGAGAGGCAATGAACAATAACAACAAAAAGATCCATGCAGGTGACGCCTATGGCTCAGTGGGTAAGGTGCCGGCCCCATAACAGATGGTGGTGGGTTTGAACCTGGCCCCGGCCAGCTAAAATAGCAGTGGCAACTGCAATAAAAAATAGCCAGGCATTGTGGCAGTGCCTGTAGTCCCAGTTACTTGGGAGACCAAGGCAAGAGAATCACTTAAGCCCAAAAGTTGAAGGGTGCTGTGAGCTATGATGCCACTGCACTCATGGAAGGCAACAAAGTCAGATCCTGTCTCAAAAAAAA